CGAGCATAGCGAAGCACTTGGCCCAACATTGGAAATGAGCGTTCAAAATTCACTCATGCCTTCCCATGCGTGTCATGTCTGCACATCAAAGGATGCCCTAGGCCTTCCGTCGGCCTTCCAGGAACTTTCAGCGTGGCCTGGACCAGCTTCACAGCCTTCTGGACTGCCGGAGTGGTCAGTGCTGGGGCGCCTATCATGGCGCTGTTCAGCTTACCCTTTTGGCAAGTGGGCTTCACCATGCTGAAGGACCGCCACAGAACATAAGCCAGGACCTTCCCAGTGACCTTTTTGGGAGTCCCTCTTTAAGTGGGTCGGAAGATCCAGGAGCCACGGGTTCCGTGGACGTGGACGTGTGGACTTGTTGGTGCACCGGGAGCGGGTTCTTGAGAACAGAAGGTGTATGAAGGAACGCACTTCCTGAAATCAAGTGGATGGCGTGGCCTCTTGGACCACACCGCCCGACACCGGTCGACCTTTCGACACGAAACCAAACCGACGAACCTCCGCAGACCCTCCGCTCACCTCCGTGCAACCAGGACACCTTTCAACCGCTGCTCCGCGGCGCTTTGGAGTTGCGGATTTCACCCAGCCGCTGGTCCGTGCGTACCTTGGACCCGCTGCTCAGTGGCCGGAATCGAACAACAGACGCGGAGATTGGTGTCCAACGATCGAAAAGAAGGTTGGATTTTGAAACTAATTGTTTTTGGACCATTTGATTGAACACATTTTAGTGGAGTGTGCAACGGCATATTATGTTTCAAGATTTGAAGATCATGCAATATCATGTACGCACAATATATTTTTTTGGTGGTCAGTGGTGAAAAAGCGATTTGTGCACCTCGCTGAAAGAACTGTTCCAATGTTAACGTGTTTGGTAAGACCTGCAGAACAGACAGAAGAGTAAACTTGGGTAAACCACCTCCTTTCACATTTTGGGAAACCATTGAAAACGGTTCGACTCTCTTTGTATATAAGGACCAACGACATCCAAAGGCGCATCCAATGGCACAATGCCTCGAGGCACACAAATTCTACATGTCAAATGTGCAACTGAGGCGCTTCACTTCGATGTCCAAGGGGACGACGGGACGACTTCTTGTTTCTTTTGTTGGCCCGAAGGTCGTTCGCAATATGGTGGAAGGTCCGTTCACTGGATGGTGGCCCTCCTAGGTCCTAGCCTTAAAAAGGTATGCAAGCCTACCCTGTCGGAGAGTAATTATGTGGATCCATAGGGCCATAGGGCCGGTTGGAGCCATGCCAGTGGTGGTGTGTTTTGCTCCTTGCTCCTTCCAACTGCCCATGGCTTCGTGGGTCGTGGAGAATCCCCCTTTTTGGTTGAGGATTTCATGGGTCTTCCCAGGACGCCATGCCATCCACTGACGCCATGGAAGGAGGGTAAATGTGGTCCGACGCCTTGGTCACCTCTGACGAGTTGGTTGATGATGTTTGCTGACCACTCTGAGGCAAAGTGAACGGGAAGATCTTGGATGAGGGGAAGACTGCAAAGCTCCAGTATTCCATTGAGGGCCCTCAGATGCTTTCTTATAAGACTTCTGAAATTGCGCAAAGGTGTTTGTGTTGTGTTTGTTGTTATTGTTTCAACAATTATGTGTTTTGTGGTGAGCGGTGCTGTCCTTTTTTGGGGTGGCACATTGGCCACTAAGCTACAAGACATTGGGGTGGTTTCAGGCGCCAATGTAGGCACATATTTTACATATTCCATACATGGAGTGATTGGGACACATGACGCAATGTGCTTTCTGTAAACTGCACCTTGGTGAAGAAAGCACAACGCTATGAATCCAAGAGACCCGTTTAACGAGCACATGTGGATTAATTCAGAACTCGTTTAACCAGATCACTCCAAAGGACTGCTCTCGGATCACTGGATTGTTTTTCACTCTGGCCGACCATCATGTTCTTTAGAGGCTGTAGCTTGTTCAATCCTACACCATAATAAGCTGAACAAAGCCTCATCAAATCTCAACAAGATCATAAATTTGATCGTTCTAATTCTAATTACTTATATAAGCATGATTAGACAACCGCGACAACCTGTCCCAAGTGCACAAGCATACATGCCTTGAAAGAAGGAAACCCTGACACAACACCAGCAAACCTCAGGACGTACCTGAAAGTACTTTCCCAAGTGGTAAGCAGGTTCAAGCACGGTGTTTCACGGGTGGTTTGAGGTAAAGTGCTAGTTTTCACAGTCTCGCAGCAAGGTTTCGAAGTTGCATGAAGTCTCTAATCAAAGTAGGTGATTACTTTGACAAAAGCAGGCTGAGGTCGGCAAATGTTCACTCCATGATCGTGCATGATAGAGCAAAATTGGTTTTCCCAAACACCTGTATGAGGCGTCCCTCACAAATTGTTCCAAGAAAAGTCAAGTGACCTGACTGGGATACCTATTGGGTAGTCTCTAATTAGATAGATGTCTTTTTGTTGGGTTCTTCAACCTTTGGAACGACAAATGTCCAACACCCTGAGTGGCTGATTCATTGAGATACATCGAGCCACCGTGCATGTATATTGGTATTGTCGCCGGATATGACAGGCAAACTGCAGCGATCATACACAAAAGGTTAAAACAAATGTGCAGAACCCGGACAGAATTTGGACCAACTTCCGAAACAATATCGCTGCCCATGACACTGATAACTTTGTGAGACGAAGCTTGCCAGATGAAATAACATGCTCCCGACAATCACAAGAAACAGTTCTGGGAACATATAGAATACTATAGTTTGTCCATGGATCAAGCCCAATAGCTCAACCGCGTGACACAAAGATCAGCCTGATAGAGTCGCCTCGAGGATGGGTCAAAACTATTTGGTGCTCTCTGAAGGCATCCAAGCTCCTTTGAAGCAAGGGGGCCTCACAGATATGGAGCCTTGGATGAGATTTGGCCCTTATGGTCCGTTACCTCCAAACCGACGGTCGCAGAGCAAACGGAACCTGGATTGATGAAATGGTCGGAGGTTCCTTTCCTTTGGTATGTGTTCGCTGGTTTGCATTTTTGTTGCCCTATTCTTTGCTTCTTTGTATTCTTGTTCTTCTCATACACTGGTGGTGCATCCATGCACATAGAAATGATATGCGTTGCTTCTAGTAGTTTGTATAGATGCACGTGTATGTTTGTTTTGTTTGCCTCTCCAAGGGTACTGCCTGCATAACCATATATATATATATGATATTTACATATATATATATATATCTCTTATAGATATACATAGTAGATGGAAAGGGGGAGAAGTTACCATCAGTGGTTCAAGAAACCTTTCCACTTGGCCCATTCGAAGTGGATGAGCATCTGGAGTTCTTGCAGAATCAGCCTATCGATTTGGTACAGCCTCGCCGGGCCAAGCTGAGGAGGCCGAGTGGTTGGAAGCCTTGATCGCCCAATATGTGCAAAGAGAATCGGATATCTCCTTTGACTCCGATTTGGAGTGATGAACAAGTTGGATTTGGCTTCTTGATCCATTGATTTTGAGGTTTGGATAGATTCATAGCATTCAGGGTGCAATGGCGGAGAACAGCGCCGGCCCGCCAGCAGAAGCCAAGCGGGCAGACAAGCATGAAGTGCTGTGAAGTGCTCGGACCTCGGAAAAGGAACGCAACAGCGTGGTGCCGTTCTGGGAATTGGACTACACTCTGACTCACTAAAAAATGGTCCCCTGGAAGACTACTTTCCTTCGGAAACAGGCGGTGTTCCACTTCCATGTTGGTGAGTCGGAGTGTACTATCATCGGATCGTTTTTTGTTACATGGAGAACCCGTTGAGATGGAGGTATGTGACATGCAGTTGTCCGTCCAATATTCTACTTTACAGTAGGATTATTTACCAGGCTACCGCCTGCAGCCGCCGACCCCCAAGGGATAGAACCTTAGCGCTAGCCTTGCTCTATGTTAGCCTTAGCCTTAAGCCTTAGCCTTAAGAGTGCAGACCCAACCCAGCACCACCAAAGCAGGTACCCAAAAAGTCGACTTTTTGGGTACCTCCCAGATTTACCATCGGACGTCAGCTCTTGCATGAACCCCGATCATTGCCCAAGAATTTAGACCCAACCCTTCACCACCAAAGCAGGTACCCAAAAAGTCGACTTTTTGGGTACCTCCCAGGTTTACCAATTTAGACCCAACCCAGCACCACCAAAGCAGGTACCCAAAAAGACAAAGCCTAGAGCACTCCTAGGAAAATGCCAGAAAAGCCTTTGAAAATCTCATAAGCCAACAGAGAACGTGACAAAATCTACGAAAAAGCAAGGGCATTGGCCGGGACCATGCCGCGACCAGCCCGGGATTCGAGCCCAGGACCATTTTGGACCGTGCTTATTTTCCCGCGCGGGTCGAGAGGGTGCCCCAAGATGTAAATCAATTGGGATGGCAGATTCTTGGACAATCCAGGTCGCTTTCCCGGCAGGATTTCGTCACTCCAACAAGGGTCCGGAGGGGTAGGGGAGGTAAGGTCTAGGTCTAGGTCTAAGGCTAAGGACTAGGTCTAAGGTCTAAGGCTAAGGCTAAGGCTTAAGGCTAAGGCTAACATCGACAGTCACGCCTCACCCCACGGTGTGGGGTCGGCGGATTTTTGTTGGGATTCAAGTTGAAACAGCCGGAAGGGATTCTGCCAGCAGCCTTGCCGGGCCAGAAAGCATCATACTTGACATACTTGTACCTCCTGCAATCCCCTTGGGCGGTGGTTTATGGGTTAACAAAGGCACCATAACTCCTGTGGAAATCCAGAACAAGCACCTGGATCCACCAACTCTACTGTCAATACCGACCTTGTCATTCTGTTTCTTGGTTGGTCTAGGAAATTCCTTTCTCAACACAAACATGTTAGGACAAGCCCTGCTGTTTGGCGCCCTGTGCCTACTTGGCGCCCTGTTGCCGCCGGGATTGTCATCAGGGGCTGTTGTTGCAGAACGCACTCACATTGCCGCCGGCGTCGTTCTGGATGTCATTGATCAGTGAACTGTCGTCCACCGGCCTCACCTAAGGAGCCGGTGAAATGCTCCAAGGACCCATGAGAACGGGGTCGTGCGGCGCTGAGCGGCGGTCGGGAACTTTTCCATGGAGGTGGAAGTGACGGATGATGAAGGTCTTCCGATTCGATCAAGGCATCATACAGAACTCCCGCCTATGGGTTTTTAGTCGACCTAGTAGTAGTAGTAGTAGCAGTAGTAGTAGTAGTACAGGGTCTAGAGGGACCCTAGAGTATCCTAGCCGTTTTGAGCCTATGCTTGGGACTTTGAAAAGGGAAGACCTTGCAAAAATGCCAGCTGCGCATTTAGTGTATTACTATGATTCTCTATCAGTCTCTTTCTTGTACTGATGGGCCTGGTCTATTTTGTGGGTTTTAGCTGGACGCATTGCAGAGGAAGCAGCTGGACCATGAGATTGATGTACCGCCTCAGCTGGACCATGCTAGAACCAGGAAAGCTCGATCGACCTTGCACCCACTTCTTAGCCACGTCGACTAGGGGGTCGAGACTGCCTTTCGCACAAATGTATATACTTCTTCAATCTTCTTCATATTGGCACACTTATAGCGGTTGCAGTTAGCACCTTGGCGCATGCCCGGCCCGGCCCGAATAAGCCCGCGATCCCGCGCTGCGTCGTTGGAGCGCAGGAGCTGGTGATGATGGCCGTCCGCAGTAGAGGCGGTCGATTTGCCGGACTGTTCAGGAGATTCCCACTGAACTGCAAACTCACTAACATATATGCGCTATGGATCCACATACCTTCTGAGAAGCTAATTGGACCCTCCAAGCCTACATAAATAGTCTCCAATCACCTTCTCAGAAGGTATGTGGATCCATAGGGATGGTTGATGAACCCAATATACACCAACTGGTTGAGAACCATATGTACACCAACTAGTGTGGTTATACACCAGTGTTACCCAACTGGTTGATGAACCCTTGGCTGGGCAAAGAGATGTTTGACGCATGGATGTTCTCCAGTTGCCTGCCTGATGGGCACGTGTTTTCTCCCAGACCAGTTTTGTCACCTTCCTTTCGCCGAAATGGAGATCTAATGAACATTCTTTGGAGCTTCCAAGATCTTGGTCAATGGATTTGGGGGGTGGTCAAGTTCCGCGCAGACTCCAGTCCAAAGGGCCTAAGGGCTTCTTTGTATCCTCGTAGCTGGGATAGAGGTTTTCAGCAGGGTTTACAAGTTTACACGCAGGAGTTGTGCATAATGAATTTGTTTAGCCCCATCAATTGCTCGCAGCCAGGTATTTTTCACTTCATTTGCTATCTTGTCAGGCGCCGCATTGCAACATGCTGCACCTGAACTTCGCAGAGATAGAGAGGTGGCTGAAGAAGATTTGTGGTTGATACGATTCACTGGGCTCAACAACGCGCTGGGAGTTCAAAAGGTTTGCCATGATAATATGTGCTTAAAGATATTCAAAGTATTTTAAAGTGCTTTTCTTCAGCATGATGCAGGTAATGTAAACCCCGGATGAACAGCTCCCCCCCACATGGTAGGTCAACAAGGACAAGAAGATATGAGATACCATTCATGAAGTCCACCTCCCCTGAATAATGTGCTATGAGACCATTGGACCATGAAGGATGATCCCACGGGCAAGCCATGAGCAAAGACTCAGACCTCCTTGATGAGCTGAACAATAGAGATGAGCAGCATGAGGTGGGAGTTGCTGCAGTTAATTGATAGACCTCCCTTAGTTAATGAATTAAACATGAAATAGCTATTTTTTTCGGGGCTGTATGGGCTCAGATTAGCTGGGGGGGGGGGGCTTCTAGGGCCAACTAAGTGATTCAGGTGGGAAATAAGCCACCAACACTACTAGTTTTAATCGGCAATTTTCCGGTGCTTTGTGGGCTCGGATTAACTACAAAAAGCTTATCAATCCTAGGTTGGCATTGGATTAGACAGGAAGCAGGTGATATCAGGTTGTCACAATCACTGCAACTGGTTGGCGGCAGAATGTCACCATCTTTCGTACGTCAGTCCCTGTTTACCATCATGCGTCCATGCTTAGACTGCCTGGAGTAGAGATTGCCCTGACAAGCTGCATTTTTTGCCCCTTGAAACGCGCTCCAAATGGTATTGGTTCTGCTGTATTCTGATATGTTCTGACGCTTACTGTAGAAATAGGTGCTTGGACATAGAGGACGCCAATTGATTAGTTTGGACTTCTTTGGGGCTGTTTCATTATGCCTACAGCACATTCTTGCAGATTGCTTCGGCCTGGTATGGTGAAAAAGACTGCCAACAACCGTGCTCTACAGAATTCTGCGTCTCCCCCAGCGGACTGTAGAGCTGATAATTGCTTGCGGCACCCTTTTTGTCCCAATTAGACATGGCGTTGGGCCAAATCCTGAAGCCTCACCAGTCCATCATGATAACCAAGGCAACCTCTCGGATGAAAAATTGTTTTCCACAAGTGGGTTCAAGTCCCACTTTGGTAAGGACAAAACAAGTTACTCTAGAGCTTCCGGCGGCTCAGGTGGTCTTAGAGGCGGTGCTCTCCAACTGCGACGCGCTGCAGTATGCCAGTGCCGAGCTGCAGGTGGGTCAGGTCTTTTTCCCAATGAGGTCACTGGCGGATCACATGGGCTCGGGCCTTCCTCTTCAGCCGCAGATTGTCATGTTCTTTTTTAGCTGCACACAGGCCTTCCATGGCCTTCCTCTCCAGCTTGTTAGCCTAGCTCTAGCCCTTAAAGAGTGTCCACTTCACCGTGGCCCTCTACACTGAGTCTACCGCCGGAAGGCCCAATTCGTTGACTTGTGGTTCAGGCCCAAGCCTTTTGTAGGCTAGGCTTGCATGGTCTTTTCATTGAAAGTCACCAACAAAATCCAAGAAATGTGTCGTTAAGGTTTTGATCGCAGTTGGTGTTCCATGTTTGTTCTCAAATTGTCCATTTTGGCTGCCCTAAGCTAGTCAACACGTTGGTTTGATCTATATTTGGAGTGGGTTTGTTGGACGGGGACTCATTAAGCCACCATGAACCACCCTTAACAGGGAACAGAGTCTGATGGACCTGCAGGGTGCAGGGTCTTTGTCCAGGTCAGCTTCGATCGGGAGATCATGATGGCCGCGGTGTCGCGTTTTAGCTGCAAAGAACATCCTTGGTGGGTTCTGTGACTTGCAGCCGCTACTAAGGAGCTTGGGAGGTGATTGAAGGGCTTGGGTTTTGTTGATGCTTGCAGTCCAAGTTTGGCCATCTATGGCACCTAGCGGAAAAAAACTGACATGCAGTCACGTGCAGGTATTTTACCATTGCTCATCCGGAGCCCACTGCATGTAATTCTACATCTCCTCTTAGCGTTCTTTCGTTCCCATGTTTGCTGGCATCCTTCCACCACCTAGACGTCTCGGCCGGTTTCGCAACGAAGACGTGGATCCTTTAGGGCCAAATACCAGCTAACAAGCACTGGATCACTGATGTCGTCGGATGGTGTGCCACTGGTGTTGGACTGGATGGCATTTCCCCACTTCGCCCACCATTCGCCACAGCGGAAGCATCCACGGCTGGGACTGGGTGAGGCAAGATGGGCACATGCTGATGTATGCTGCCGAGCCGCTGCGGCACGGAGCTCAGGTCTATGCTTCTATTGATTCTACAGATCTCCGCAGTGCTGGGTGGGGCAGTGGCCAAGAGTGGTGTCGCCAGATAGATGCATAGACGGATATTTAATGATATGTATAAACCACACACACAAAAATACTATATTTGGT